GATTGTTATAATAATAAAACAATACCAGTTAGTGCTTCTTGGGGCCATTTTTTAGGTAACATATTGAGGTCTTTCAGTGGGACCACCTTCAATGTTGCCAAACAGGGTTGAGAGTCCCAAGCAGAAAAGCATGACGAAAAAAGAGGGACAGACAGATGCGAGAACCCGATCTTTGGTGATGGTCTGTAAATACAATGAAGGCAGGCCTGTGCCCTCCACTCCCTGGACAAACACACACATTAGTCCTAATGCAGATAAGACTAAAACTAAATACTTAGAAATCTGATCATTTATCAAGTAACAGTCACCTCACTTGATAAAGTTTCTGCATGTCGCAGGTTTTGATTGGTCCAATCCAAGGGGGAACAATATTAGGAGGAGCTGTTTGAGATGGTTAAGGCTGCCCTCGTGTTGCCGCAGTTGATGCTTCTTCAGGAAGGTCAAATGTGTTTGATAATGTCATGATGTTACTAGGGAGAAAATATGTCAGTGATTAGTAACTCTATATTACTGGAGTCAACATTACAAATCCAATTAGTATTTTTTTTTTTTTACCCTATAAATCTGAGGTATGTATACATAGTTGAAGAGTTTTAGTAATAACATTATTTATTACCAGCACCAGTAAACATTTGATTTAGTTCTCCAAACCTGTGTTTAGGGAATTGTTGCCAACTACCCCTTTATTTACATTGTGATTGCAGATTGCATCTTTTAAAATGCTCTTCAAACTACAAAGTAGAATATACTTTTAGGACTGCTCTGCTCCAAAACCATTGAAACCCACACCCTGTGACTACTCACTCGCTGATACAGTTGTCATATTTCTCTGTGGCTCGGAAGCCAATGATGGTATAAGTGACTGTGGCAGCATAGACTGAGGTGAGGCCAGTTATAGCAGACAGGATCACAGCATCCTGCATGCAGTTGTTGCTTTGGAAAAGAAAAAAAAGGCAAAAGATTGAGGACACACCATGTCTTAGAATGGCTACTATCCTTTTTTTTTTATTGAAGTGAGCAGAATAAGAGTCCAGCAGTGTGGTTATAAAGCACAACTGGGCTCCGATAAATCTTTCTTACTGAACAGGATTGTAGCTTGAGAAGGAGATGAGGCCTCCCCATGCTAAGCTAAAGGCGTAAAAAACCTGGGCACCTGCATCCAGCCAGGTAGTTGGATTCATTAACTCGTTAACCTGCAAGAACAAGACATACAGTGAGATGTTGTTTAACATATGAGATATATAATTGGCTTTTTTTACGATAGCAATTTGAAACATACGTCTGGTGTGAACAGAAACTTTATTCCACTTATGGCCCCTTTAAGAGTCAGTCCCCGGATAAGGAAGATGCCCAGCACTATGTAAGGCAGGATGGCTGTGACGTACACTGCCTGAGGTCATGACAAGAAAAGAAAAGACATTTAATAATTGTGGCGATTCAGGAAGACATAATGTTTGACTGACGGTTCAACAAACCTTGCCCGAAGTGCTGATGCCCCTTATGTAGCAGATACCTATGACGGTCCAGGCAGCTAACAGGCAGACTACTATAGGCCAGTGGATTCCTCCAGAGTCAGCTATAGAGGTCGTACTGTTCAGAGTCACTCGATAAAAGTAGTAATCCACAGTGGAACTCTGTTGACACTCTGATACATATCCTACAGGGGCGAGAAACAGTGGTCTGCAAATGTTGTAATTATGAGTAGAGTTTGGGTGCTTAATGTGTATCTCTGTGTGTATATTCAAATACCTGTCCCGTTGTCATTGAGAGGACACTGGGTCCAAGGCAGCGGGCTTTGAAAGGAATTGAAGAGATACCACATGATCCAGGCTATTAAGGTGTTGTAGTACAGTCCAATCAATAAGGAAACCAGCATGGACGCTATACCTGATAAGGACAGAATCCTTTAACTGATATCGGGCAGTCAGCTCATTGATTAACAGCTTTGCGTTGCCATTTAGCCTCTGCTTAGGCTAAATTGTTCCAGGGCCTATTTTACTTACCAATACCAGTCAGATAAGGGTTGATGGCCCTCCACACTCCCACGCTGCCTTTCCTGAGACGCTGGCCGATGGCAAACTCCAGCAACAGGAGGGGCATTCCTTCCAGAACCAGCAGGATCAAGTAGGGGATCAAAAAGGCACCTGGACAATGTATGATCAGGAGCACAATTATACATCTTTATTGTTGCATTTATGACAATTATAGGCCTTTTAAAAAAAAGTATGAATGAAAAGACTTTAGTAGGCAAATAAAGCTTAAATACTGAATATAATGCTTAGTCTGGGCTGTAAACGGTGGCATGGCACCACCTGTGAACAGTGCATAATAGTAGTAATAACCCTCGTGATGGCTTTACCCGCTCTGTCTGTCAGCACCTCAGTCAGTGTACTATGTAACGGTTATCTGTCCCGTTGCAACACAACAATCTGACTAATGCATGGGTGGGTTATACTGGGTGAAAGGTGGGGTACTCCCTGGACCGATGGATTTAAAGCCAGGATCTTCTTGCTCTGAGGAGACTGTGCCAACTACCCTGCCATTCTATTATATGTTTATGTATGTTAAATATGCATTTGTATTATTATAATTATTTTAACAATCATACATACATAATAGGCTTCTTTTGTAACCAATTAGTGTTTTCTCTCTGCCCTGAATGTTTGCTTGTGTTCAGTTTATCAAAGTTTAGATACTACATAAAACACTGTAATGCAAGAAGTTATTTTAACTCGGAAACGGTCAAAATTTTTAGGTTAAAAAACATTCTTGATTAAGTACATTTTACTAGGTATTTTTTACAAAGTCAGTGTCACTTAAAATTACTAAAGCTACTTTATTAAGAATGTTTTTTTGGCTTGCAAAATTTAGTTAGTTTTACTTTTAATTTTTGATTTAAAAATAACATTTTCATTTTGTTTTCCTCCTAGAAACGAATTGAATGCTGAGATATAGGCCTACTGTTTATATTTATTAGGGTTTGCTAGCATGCCTTAAAATCAAGAAGGCCTTGTGACCCCCTATGAAGCATTGGTGTCCCCTAGTGAGGGTCCTGACCCCCAGGTTGGGTACCACTGGTCTAAATTACTGGTATTTGTTGTGAGTAAGCTCTAGCTAACCAAGCAAGCTTGTTTTAGTAGACACAGATTGAGGCAATTTTGGCTCTAATGCTGCTCCCATGCAATATATTTTTGTTGCAGTTACTGTAATATAGCTTCCCATTTGTAAACTGTTTCCTTGTCAACATCCAAGTTGAAAACCCAAACACCTCACATGAGTCAAAGTCCATCATTCTAGGTAATGAAAACACAAATTGAATGGATATAGTACAATCTTGTGCAGTATTTTTAACCTCCACAAAGCCATCTTTGCAATCTTACAACTGTCTTGAGTTGAGTTAATGAAATTAACCCTCTCATGCTGCACTAATACAAATTGTTCCCAGTTCTACCATCCATAATGTGAATATAACACAAGGGCTTGAACATCTAGTTTACAGAAATGACCAAATTCGTTAGATTTGTTAGATTAGTGTTAGAAAACAGTCTTATCCCCTGTGGCTCAATATAAAGTATTCCAGATGTACTTACTTCAAACAGCCCCTTTTGAGAAGTGAAAGGTTCACAGTTCCAACCTTTAATATCAGTAGTGTCCTTTTTTACTAATTGTGTACCACTAGGAAAATCATGTTTGACAGAGACAAAAATACCAAAAAGCTATACAGTAGGCTAGTCCTACGTACCTTAACCACACTTAATTTTTACAATCATCCAATAACAACAATAAAAGAATTAAAAGTCTATAGAAACTTAACCATAAGGTTCCCCTTTATCATTTTCCTCTGAGCTTACCTCCTCCATGACTTTGACATAAGTAAGGGAATCGCCACACATTGCCAATCCCAATGCAGAAGCCCACACAGGTTAGGATGTACTGGGCTTTGTTGTCCCACTTGGGCCTGTCCCCGGCCTCCTCCTTCTCCATTCTTTCCAGATCCTCATAGGAAGGGATCCTGAGATCCAAGCCTGGGTTAGGAAGTACCAGTCTCATGGCGACCCCTCTGAAGCAGAGATGTTACACTGACGTTCCTTGAAGTCAAAATGAGTGCTTGGTGCATGCACCTGGCAATGTTGAAACAAGTTTATGATCTTTCACTTTATTGGTGCGTTCGACAGATTAGCCAGTGCATACTTTGCACTTCTGTTTTTATACCACCGCCATACAGACATTAAATTAAATAATACATATGCATATTTAACATACATATAATAGAATGGCAGGGTAGTTGGTACAGTCCCCTCAGAGCAAGAAGATCCTGACTTTAAATCCACCGGTCCAGGGAGTACCCCACCTTTCACCCAGTATGAAACTCACTGTCCCATGCATTAGTCAGATTGTTGTGTTGCAACGGGACAGATAACCGTTACAGAGTACACTGACTGAGGTGCTGTCGTTGATGATGAGTCCTGCTCACAGCTCCAAGAATATTGTGAGACAGAGGGTTCGCCGACCTAGCATTGTTGCAGTCACTAAGTAGAGTTTTACCTGGCTGCAACCATGCCACTGGATTTATTAACTCAATCAGAGACGATAGAAGATAAGTGACTGTATCATGGTAAAACAAAGTTAGGATTCAGTTACTACTTAAAACTGACAGGAGACACTATTTCCGATTGTCCTGGCCATTATTAATTCATCTGTGAAGGTATTATACATCAATCTACTTACTAGTTACACTTGTTTCTTTTACAGCAGGCATACCCAAGGTTGAATTACCTACTGGGCATAGTGGGCAGCTGACAGAACTCAAAAGGCCCCTAAACATTACAGCCTTTCGGTGTTGTCTCCCCCCGGTACTATGCTCAATATTATAAAACTAAATAAACTAAACTTCAAACGATACAACAATAGCTAAAGTACAGTATGGTGCAAATATTAAAGGGAAGCAGGGGAAGGGTGGAGGTATTTTTCAAGAATAAACAGAAGGTTGTCAGGTGGACTAGGAGCGGAGATCCATTTATTTTGTTTTTTGAAAAGCCTGGATGGGAACGCTTCAGTACACTTTAAGAACAAATATTACTGGTGCCACTACAGAAAATTACAGAATTTCACATTATAGACACTTTCACTAACTCTCTGTTTGTTCACAATTTAGCACATTAACCTCATACGGTCCAGCCATACACCAATCAGCCATAACATTATGACCTTATGACATTATGTTTAGCTACATTAAAGAGATGCAGCCCTCTTTCTAGGCTGAGCCTGATGTTTTTCCCCCAGTAAAAATGACACTGATACTGTACATGACAGTTAAGTACTTTATATTTAAAAACTTTTTAAAATGTAGTTTCCCAAAGTAATTTAGTTTGTCATTATTTTTCAATATTGTTTATTTATTGTTATTATACACACAAACTGAGCCACTGCAGCTCCCAAGCCCAGTGTGATGTACATTGTTTAAATCACAAGAGCCACCTTGGTTGAAACATCTGAAATTAATTTGAGAAAAAAATTCTGAAACACTTGTGGTTTAGTGACATTTCTAACGCACAACCAGACTTTGGATCATAGGAGACATTACAACTTGCACATTTCCAATCTAGTCTAATCTTAACAGATTTAGTTTTTGTTAGATTAGAACTGTCAACTTTTTTTTATAGTTTGAGAAAAATACATGAGGACTCTCTAAATCTAGCTAATTCATTGTATCCCCCACTTCTGAAACTCCCCCAGAATGTATTTATTGACTGATGGAACCATTGATGAGCTTGGACCATGATGGATTTCAGTCATTATATAAGACACTCTTGCTATTATCAATTTTGTGAATCATCAAACGATAATAGTTAATCAAGTGCACCAAATGATCAAGAGGCAAAGTTCAGAGAAAGGCTGAATTCAATAAAACTTATTTTTAGTTTTTATTATTAGTTATTTAAGTTACTTATTATAAGTTATTTATTGCATTCAAAATAATACTACAGACTGCTGATCTTTCATTTATTATAATGGCAGAATTGTATAATAAGTACAATACTATAGTTGGATGAGTACTTGAATAAGGGATTTATTTTTCCAGTAATATTAGTCAGTAAATAATTTAGTTAAAGCACCTTAAACATTGCTGACTCGACTGTCCCTATCACTCCTTACAGTATGTTGTGCTTTGCATCTGACCTGAGTCAGTTTGATGTTTATGTCTAACCTGTCTATACCTGTTAAGTTTTCCAAGTTGTAGAAAATTCATGCATTCATTCACGCCCAGTTACATACAACTCACATTTTGCCTAAAAATTCATATTTGCTGTATTGTTTATCTATTGATAGGTAAACATTTTTATATATTGGTAGATACATTTCATTAGTCATGTGTTGTTAGGTTACATAGGTAAAATTATATTTCACAGAGAGAAAAATGATTTAAACGGCAAGGATAAACAGGTATAAAACCTGGATTTTAGTACAGTATATTGTCACAGCAGCAATGAATTTGCACAAAACATGAGCAGAAATGTCATTATCTTTCTGAAGTGCATCAATAAAGCATCAGTAAACAGTTTAGCACATCAGGCAAATTTTTTAGTCACTAATGTTTTGTCTTGGTACTATTTTTTTCTTACAGCAAACAAAGACCAGCCTACATAATGCATACAGAGGAACTGCTAGACTGGGGATTCCTGCCAAAAGAAAGATGATCACGTAGATCCATGAAGGATAGGTTACTGACACCAGAGACGGGAACTTCTCCTGTAAACCACAGAACAGTATGATTAGTGCATTTGGTATGGAATGGCAAAAGGGCAAATAAAGTAGGGATGCTTATGATGATATATTAATTGATCACAGAGCTTGTGTGCTTACAGAGTTGGGATCCCAGACTAAATATGTGAGCTCTTTTTGGGCTTGTGTCACCAGGTAGAAAACTAAAATGACCAGAACGATTAGAGGACTGATGAACCTCCATGAAACCTGCCAGAAGATGGAGGGCTTACGTCCGACCATGAACTCGAAGTCCGCATTGAACCTGCCACACAAGGTTTTAATTAGTTTTGAAAAGTTTTGAAATATGTCACAAAATAATTCCTGTTACACAGGACTTTACAATAGGTCAGCCAACTGCATAGGTTTTGCTCAATGACTGGCACAGCATGATGTTAATATTGTAGTTTTGCAGCAAATATCAAGATGTAGGGCAAACACAAAAGGAAAACTTGTGTGTCCAGAGTGGCGGCCAGAATCAACAAGTTCCTTGTTGGTGCTTTAAATTAATCATGAAAATGATCCCTGTCATGTACATAAAATATTGCTCAATTACAGATAAGTGATATTCTTATTCTTTGTGGAACAGAGTGCAGATGTGTGGCTTCTGCTAACATGGTTATTTTGCAGTAGGCTGTACTATATCATACAATACAATTTGAAGCTATACATTAGCTTAATGCACTAACCTGTCTATGCCGTAGACGTAAACAACAGCTATCATCTCAAACAATCCAATGGTCAGAAGTGGAACAGATCCGGCGAAGGTGTCAAAAAGAGTTACCCAATAAATCCCTGAGTGCTGGGTGAACAGGAGGCAGATGATGAAGGCGACAACACATGTTATTCCTGAAACACACATGCACAAAAACAAGGGAGCTTGTGTTAGTACAGAAACCAAAGACAAACACCAAATATGTTTTATTGAAATGAAAAGCTGGGGAATTGATTGCATTGAATTTTAAAGCCAAGTTACCAGTCAGGGCTTCATGAGGCCATTTTTTAGGAAATACATTGAGGTCTTTCAGTGGGACCAC